ACACACACACACACACACACACACACACACACACACACACACACACAGTAAGAGCTCATGATGCAAACATTAACTGATAGCATTGTTCTTCAATAGAGAATAGCTCTGCAGGTATCTGGTCATCCATAGATAAATATTGGGCTGATGAAGTCAGGGGATCGCTTTTATTTTGATCCACTTTGATGAATACTGACATTAATGCATTTGATGCTTTCACATCTTAACCAACGAGGAGGTCTGGTGTTCAGACTGCATCTCATCTGCTGCATGTTGTTAGATATTTAAAACCACACAAGAAACAATACAGAAAGACAAACACTGAACAATGAAAATATTAATTTGTTTGGTTCATTAACTCTGCTGTTCAGTAACCGATTACCAGATCTCAGATGTCTGAGCGTCTATGAACGCATCAAGAGGCAACGAATCGAAACAAATGTGACTTTTACTATAACTGCAACTATGCTGCTTATAATAATAATAATAATAATAATAACAGTGATGTGAGTTTCACGTCTCTGCAATTTGTACTGCTATACTTGTGAGGACCTCCGTCTAGATAAGGATAAGATAACGCGTTTCCAAACTTCAACTTTCACCTTTTAGAATAAACTTTCTTCACTTCACAACAGCTTGTGTAAATGTCAACACTTTCCAAAAACATCCTCTCGTTTGAAAGCTGTCCTCAATTTCCAAGTGTCCCAAAAAATGTCCAAAATGTTTACACTGCTGTCAAACTCTTCCCAGTTTACAAAAAAGTACCTCAATTTACAAAACATCCTTGATTTCCAAGTGTCTCCAAAAACGTCCTTAAAATGTCCTTAACTTCCAACTGTTCCCCAAAACATCCTCCGTCTTTCCAAGATGTCCACACCACAAATGTCCCCTTTTTAAAAAAACCTCCCCAATTCACAAAAAAAGGGAAATTCCTCTTTTGCATCTTTTACATCACTTTACAAAAATGTCCTTGTTTGCGAAAACTTCAAAGACATTTACAAAAGTGTCTTCACCTTTCGAAAATATTCTAAATTGCAGAAGATATTTAATATGTTTGCACTCTGCTTTCTGTCTGCCTCTAGAAGTCAGATGATCTCAATGACCTCTTCCTCTCTAACACACACACACACACACACACACACACACTTCCTCGTACACTGCTCTATCCGCAATATGTGCGTGTGTGTGTGTTTATGTGTCCGTCCCCTCTCTTCATTTCCTGAATCCCGCTCCTCTGATTCACAGCGACATGGGAGACAATCGCACTCCAATGAGCTGAAACCTGCGACATGACGAGAGAAGGTAAGAACAACACGCTGTTTTATTGACGTTACGTCATTAAGTTTGGATAAATTAAACTTCTGCGCAGTTTGAGCGTCTGTCACGCGACTGAACCGCGACCAACAGTTAGACATCACAGCGACTGGAATCTGCAGTTCTGCTGTTTAACTACTTTAAACACTAAACCACCATATGAAATACTAATTACAGGTAATAAGAGTAATATCAATACACGTTTAATGCATCTCATAGTGACACCGCGTGAGGAATAAACACCATAAAGTAAAGTATCTAAAACTATTACATGATTATACGAGTCCATAATAAAGTTTTACATGAATCACGTGATCATGTTTGATTTCATAAATCACCTTGAAATGAACGTGCACCACCTGTGAGCAGGTGCAGCCGACAGGGTGCGCGTGCGCTTGTCGCTTCCTTCAGCTGAGTTCAGGTTAAAAATGCCAAAAACAAAAGAATCAGTGAAAGTACTTTAGTTAAAAGGAGCAATACTGTACACGAGTTCAAAAATACTGTATTCTAAATATCACTTCGGTAAAAGTGCATCAGAATATACTTAGGAAAAGTACTCATTACGCAGTGGATCCTTTCAGAACATGTATAATATTAAATCGATTATATATGTTTATGCATCAATGAGAAACAAAGTAACTAAAAGCGGTTAAATAAATGTAGTGGAGTAAGTAGTATAAAATAGATATACTCAAGTGAAGTACCTCAGAATTGTACTTGAGTAAAAACTCATATTTTGTGATATTTTCAAAACAAGTATATTCATTTAGGATGACTTTGTGTTATATATAGTTTCTAAATGCATCATAATTAATACAAATAAAGCAAGCCCAAATATAGATGTTTGTTCCTCTATCTGACAATATTTACAAACTTAAACAAATAACTTTAACAGCATCAGAAAACATTCATAACGAAGATATAATCTTGTTCTTTGATCAGATATTTCCTGATCTAACTCAGGAAGCTTTACATTATATTTATTTTGGCAATATTATTTATAGAACACGGTGTAACGAGCTGATTAACGAGTTAAAAATTGTAGACGTAAACTACAATCCACGAATATGAATCACTGATTGGGGCCAACCGGGAACAGACCCGGGGGCCAAAAGTATCAGGGCCCCCCCCTTGGCCTTCACCTACAAAACGTCACTCAAGGAGACTCGTACTAACCAGGAAGAGACACAAAACGACTGCAAAGACAGGCACAAAACAACCGCAAGAGACACAAAACAACCGCAAAGAGAGACGCAACAACCGCAAAGAGA